GGCCTCACCCAGGGGACACTGGACGCGACCCCTGTATGCTCAGGCCGCTGCAGCAGGATGTGCTGTGTCTTGTCTGGGGCTCCCAATCTGGAGTAGTAGCAATTGCTGGGCCCTGGGGACACGGAGCTGCAGCCTAGAGACTCAGCCCAGGTCGGCGGTGCCCCGGTCGGTCTGGGCGGCCTCGCCGCCCCAGGGCAGCAGCACCGGCTGTGGGTTTGGAGGAGGCCAGTTGACCACCCTGGAAGAAAGCGGCATTGTCCTCGCGGTTTTGCACAGCCCGTATTCATATCTCACTGTTGTTTGCAGGAGAGGCAGATGTGGAGCAGAACAATGAGACCCCCTCTCAGGACACAGCGGTGACAGACTCCAAGCGCACAGCGGACCCGAAGAATGCCTGGCCAGACGCCAGCCCAGCTGACCCCGGGGGCCGCCCCCACTTGATCCGCCTCTTCTCCCGAGATGCCCCGGGCAGGGAGGACAACACCTTCAAAGACAGGCCCTCGGAGTCAGACGAACTCCAGACCATCCAAGAAGACAGTGCAGCCGCTCCCGAGGGCCTGGATGTGATGGCGTCACAGAAAAGACCCTCCCAGCGGCACGGATCCAAGTACCTGGCCTCCGCCAGCGCCATGGACCACGCGCGGCACGGCTTCCTCCCTCGGCACAGAGACACCGGCTTCCTGGACTCCCTCGGGCGCTTCTTTGGAGGTGACAGGGGTGTGCCCAAGCGGGGCTCAGGCAAGGTGAGCTCTGAGGAGTAGAGGAGCACTTTAGCTTAGATGCAGCAGGAAGGACAGTCTGTCGGCAGGTGAGCTGAGCCACAGATGAGTCGCAGAGCGGCCGCTTAGCTGCCCAGGGCGTTGTCCTCGCTGGAGATGCTTGCGGGCCTGGGAGGGGCTGGGCTGCTGCTTCCCTTACTTGCTCTTAACCCCCCTCGTCCTCCCCGCAAGGGGCTGCCACCAGGATGTGGCTGCGGAACCGGGGGCACTCTGACCTCTGCTCCCGCAGGTGGCGTGGCTGCGGGCACCACAGACAGGGCCCCATGTCCTCAGGCTCCCGTGTCTGACGCTTGGGGCTTGTGGCTGGTTGCGCTCCTGCCGCCCACGATTTGGGTGATACCCATTTTGTGGACCCCGTGCTGTAGGTCCCTGGGCTTTGCAGCAGTAATGCAGTTGACGATTTTGGAACAATCTCAACATGTAAATACACCTTGAGCGAATGTTCTCTCTTGCCTGAGTTGTTTAGGGGAAGGATAAGTGAGTGTGTTTGTGAATCAAAACTGTATCCTTTGTGATTCCATTGATTTGAATGCAAAGCCTGTGAAGTTTAATTATTTAAATGTTCTGTAGATAAAAATGTATCAAAAGAAAAAACGCCCATACTGTGGGCCAGTTTCCAAGTGTCTTCTGGAGCTGACTGTGAATCAGTCATCTGTGGCCCGTATATCATTAAAGCGATAACCCCCAAGTGGCATTCCAGTAGTTACAAGAGTCACATGACTCCCCGGAGTGTTGGGTGGCTGGTGACTCTGGAAGGTGAGGCTTTTCAGAAAGCGCCCCCGCCCGGGCCTTCGACCCCCCAGCCCCCCCGGCGTAGAGTGTGCTTGCAAATCACATAAAGTGCAGCTCTTTCTTCTGGCTGTGACTGTGCTGCCTCTGAGGGGCCTTGGGGAATATAAGAGGCTTTGGAGTAAAGTGTGGGCAGGGGTTCCCCTCAGGGTCACAGCATCATGGAAACCCCAAGGTTAAGGGCGTTAAGGAGTTTCTACACCTTGCCTCCGTCTCTGATGACAGTGCCTAAAACGATTGGCGTGGAAGCCGTGGAGGATAACCCCAGTGTCAGTTTTGCCTTTTGTGCAGGTGTCACAGTGCACCGAGGTCTCAGGCCCTGGTGGGTGGCATCTTGGCGTCTGCTCCAGGTTGGCACCTCTTATGGGGACACCTGTCCTGACTTTTGGTGATAACCCTTGATGTCCCTTAAGTGCTTATGGAATGCCTCTGGTCGGTTCCTTCAGTGTCTGCACTTGGAGTCCCTTCCCGTTGGGGCCGTCCGCACTCCCTCACCCTGATCTACTGAATGCTCATTTCAACCTGAGGTGCTTTTTCAAGCCCAGCGTCAAAGCCCCCAGGTCCTGGCCGCCTGGTGACGCCTGCTCTTGTGCTTGGCCTCCCATAAGCTTGTGGCATCGCAGGTTCGAAATCTGAAACTATTCTGCTTGACCCAGGAGCAGGAAAAATACATGGAAACTGCAGAAAAGATGAAATAGCTGGATAGCGTGTGTTTAAAATGAGCTGCATTGCCGTGGTCACGGTTTAAGCTGAAATAAAGCCCTGGAAGCATCTATGTCAATCATCGTGACTTTATCGCAAAGTGGACATGCGTGTTTTTGCTCCTTTATGTAGCTGCAGCCTTCATTGGTTTAAGTCTGTTATCCTGTTCAGTACTTTCAGAGAAAATGTTTTAGTGTCAGCAGGCACCATCCACGTTGCAACACAGTGTCACCAGATTATCAAGGATCCAGAGAAATCAAAGCGTGTTCACGGGGTGTCTAAAAATGAGCACAATGTTTAAATGATTGGGAGTTTTGGGAGCATCGGTTGTCATCACTACTGAATGTTGACTCAGAAGGTTTTTAAATGGTCATCCTTGCCCTTTGATGCCCCCCCGGGGTCAGAGCACAGCCAATAGCTGTTTATCCGAAACACAGGCCACAGGTGATGGTGGGCGGCTCCTTTGCTGACCACAGGAAGCGAGGGCTGTTGAGTGTCTGTTCAGCTCACCAGTGTGTTGTGGATCCTTTGTTGGTTTGCTTTTCAGCACTGCGGGGGGGAGCGTGAAACAGCCCAGGACACCCACAGCTCTAGGCAGACAGCCTGCCATGTTCATGGTGTGGACTGCTGAGGGTTAGGTTTTGTTTTTGTTTCCGCTTTGCTCTGTTTATGACTCTAGAGAACCTTTGTCTTATGCACCAGAAAGGTCCTTTGGATCGAAGCTAGAAACCGAGAGAGTCAGGTTATTGTCCATGAAAGCCCGTTTCACGTTTCCCATTTCTAAGCTCAGCATCTAAGGTACACAGGGTGCGAGAGGGAGCCCACAGGACCGGAGGCAGCCTGCTCCTGCCAGGTGTCTGGGGAAGGCCGTTATTCCGCTCAGCTGTCTAGAGTCGGTTTTCTAGTAGAATCACGAAACGCTGGATGGAGCGATGGCCCCTGGACACGGGCTGTTTGGCGCTGCGGGGGAGGCCCCCTCTGCTGCCCTCCCTGCCCTGGGAGCACGTGGGGCTCTGGGTCCCTGGGCTGCAGCCGCCACCCCCAGTCCTCAGAATGCACCGAGCGCCCACCCTCTGTGAGGCTGGCAGTTGACATTCAAAGAAAGTGCGTTATAAATTCCTGAGACAGCAGAATCTTTTGAGAGCTGTGGATGCCAAGCGCACTCGCAGAGAACGCATGCTTTGTGAGGAAAGAAGGACTGTGTTGTTCGCCGGGGACCAGGTCTCCCAGCTGCCGCGGCCGTGGGGACACGTGTGGCGTACTGGCACGTGGCAGGAAGGTCACATGCACCCGGGCTGTTTGACAAGGGTGGCAGTCCGAGGCCACCGTCCCCCATTCCCGCACTGCCAGCCTCACTCCTGGGCCAACACTGGGACCTGCGGCTACTCAGGCCTGACGGCCGAAGCCAAGAGCCCTTAGCGGCGGAAGCCTGCTTGCCCCTTTCTATCTCGTGTTGCGGTTTTACAAAATGACCAAGCCACACACGGAGACGTAACTGGGCAGTTTCCAGGTGAGGGCGCAGGTGGGCACACCACCCTCCTCTCCCCCGTCCACTTCCAAAGAGCTTTTTAAAGCTAGATTCTGTCCTGACGATTTCACCTCATTTTCTCTCCTTCCTTTACCTTCAAAACACCATTTATAATCTACTATCCTCAGTGTTCCCTGTTGCTTCTGTGCCTGACGTGGATGTGTGGGCTAAAGAGCCTTGTTGTCACTTAATGCTTTGGGTGAGATCAATCTTGTAAATTAGTCACCGTGTTCTGTGTCCTGGGTTTTTCTCCATTGCATTTTAGTTTCATTAAAACACATTTTAGTTCTACAGTAACTGAATTCATCATTGTTAACATGATATCCTGATTGTGTGTGGAGCCAGGTCCTGTAACCCTTTGGGGAGTGGTGACATTTGGCGGCAGCAGGAGGACATGGTGGGACGCGTCTGAGTGGGGCCGTCCACTCCGCAATGCGTCTGGCCCCCCTCAGTGGCCAGTGGACCTGCCCTCGGCCCTTTCAGCTCTGAGTGTTGTTGCTCACAGGAGCCCAGCCCTGGGTTTGGAACCAGATCGAATCTCGGCCTGAGTCTCCTGGGCAAAGAGACAGCCGCCCAGTGAGTCAACTTGTCCAGAGATCTGGCCAGAGATCTTTCTAGAAGCCAAATGCGGCGGTGGGTGTATTTGTTCATACACCCAAACAAAAACGTTTTGAGATGTCCTCCAGGAATCCCTTTTGAAACGCCATTACCCTGATCAACGATCGATCGGCGTTTTCCGTGGCTCAGCTACCAGCTCGTCCCTGTGTCCTCCTGGGGTCCCCATGCTCTCAGTCGTCCACTGTATTTAAACAGGCGATAGTTAAATTTAGGATATGCCTTGTGTTGGTGGAGACTTTGCTGAGTCCTCTGTCATGAATGATACATTTGTAAATTATGTTGATGTATTTAATGGTGATTATATGCCAATTTGATTTTGTGATGAAATTTTGCTTTCTATCTATTTCTTCCTTTTCATGCATTTATTAAACATTTTAACAGACTGAGGACGGTGTACTAATTGCATGTGACTTTTTTTTAAGTTGTCCTTTTTGTGTCCCTCCCTTACTAAGTGCATTTGCGACTGGTGTTTTCGTGGCCTCCTGATATAGCCACCGACAGGTGAGTCTGGGGGCCGAGCGCCTGCTCCTGCACATGTAGGTCACGGCTTGTCACTTGCCCCACAAAGACATTTTGTTCCCTTCTCTCCACGGCCAGTTGGTGTCCTGGTCCACTATGAGTGTAGCTCTGTGTGATGTTTTTAATGTTTCCTGCGAAGCCCCGTCCTGCACATGATGGGGTGTGGGTACTAAGTAGACACTCGGTCCCATGGTGTGTCTGTGGCATGGTGCACTCAACAGCTACTGGGCCACTAGCGCCCGGAAGACCCCGCCCATCCGAGCCCCACCTGAGTTGACGGGCAGGAGGGCAGGGTCTTCTGAGAGTGGCCCGAGCCTATGCGCTGACAGGCAAGCTCAGGGCTGACAACCGGACGTAAAGGCAAAGGCGTGTAACTCATTCTGACCTGCCTTCCATCCCCCGTACAACCCATCCTGCCAGCAGACCCTGTCCTAACCCGGCTCCTTCTAAACACACGTCCATTTTACTGCATTTCTTTCCATCGTCATCAGTTTCCCTTGTTAAACAGGATCAGCCATTTGGTGACAGGCAGGTCTGATGGGCTGATGGAGAGCTTAGCTCGACAGCTGAGGGACTGTGTCATCTTAGGGGCAGACGGCTCAGCAGCGCTCACGTGGAAATCACGAAGGCATTGATGCAGCATTTGGGAGCTGCACGGACCACTCGCGGAAGTCTGCAGTGATCTGTTACCTCAGAGACTCCCACTGTGTCTGCGTACACACTCTGACATGCGCTGAAATCATCCTACTTTCTAAAAAGTAGGAAAAGGCGAGAAAAAGGCGAGGAGAACAAGCCCTACTGCGGGGTCCCCATAAACGCGGCCCTGGCACACAGGGTTTCCATGGGAGGCTGCTCGCCATCATCCCCCCGGCAGTGTTGGGGTGCACTGTCCCCACCTGTCCCCACCTCGGTGTTGCTGAGCACATCTGCCACTCACGCGGGTGTGAAGGAAGCTATCTTCCTCTTCCGGGCATGCCAGGGCGGACGGGCGGCCCGTGAGGTCTCCTGCGGGCTGCTCGGCTCCCAGGGACCGGCCAGCCTGACCGTCCCACGCTGCACGGCCAGCGCCAGACACGTAGGACGTGACATTGGGGGCGCTTAGCCCCAGCACAGCCCGACAGTGTCTCAAGGACACGCTCCTGCCCACTAAGGAGGCAGTCTGCCTTAAATAGAGGAAAACTAATTAGAAATCATTCTTTGCCTTTTGACCAAGGGCATACCATGGATGTGGCCGTCCGTACCCCACCTTCCGAGGTCCTTTGGGGACAGCCAGGCCTTCCCACGGCAGACACGACCACAGGCTCGTGCACCCACCTACCTTGACCCGAGTGGCCGGTCGCCTCACTCCCGGGAGCTCCCAGCACTGTGAATTTGCCTCTGCTCACCCAATCTGCGCGCTTTACAGGATATCTGAAACGCAGTCACATTTTCCTACTGTGTCATCACTACCGTTTATTTCCTAGAATGACCAGCAGCTGACCTGTTTTCTAAAACGCCACTTCACCCGTGGCCAAGATATGGCCTCTCTTGAAACCTGTTCTGTTACTTGTTTCTCTTGCCCACGGCAAGCCTTTCCCCTCCTCTCACATCCTCCCCTCCCCCCCACACCCCGTTTTGCTGGGAACAGTCAAGGAGACCATTTGCCTTGGTCCTGTAATAATAGTCTCAAGCACATCGCCCAAAGCTGGGTGGTGTGGCAGGGCCTGTCTTACAGCTGATAGAAGAGGGAATACACTAAACCAGCAGCAAATACGATTTAGGAAGATTTATGGCGATCAAGTTACGGCCGGTGCTCAGCTCAGGTGAAGGCATATGAAGTCCTGTCAGTGTTAGGCCCCTGGCCTTCACCAACTACAGGAAAGCGTGTCCGTGACAAAACAGAGCCCCGTGGTTGACAGAGTGACCCTGGGCACAATGCTGCTCTTAAAAAGAGCCTCCTGTGCTCTGTGGCACATTGAAAAGGTCCAACAGTGACAGCCACCGTCAACCGTGACAGGGAGGTGACTTCCACTTGTGAGTCCAGTATGGAAGCTAACACGCATGCCAGAGAAGAAAAACGTAAAATTGCAGATAAGCTGGACGTAGCGTTGCGCTGCCTGTTTTAGACTTCCGAACGCCCTCAGCACTTGCACTGGCTGGGAGAGGCTGTCTTTACTTGTTCCCTAGAGACCCCCCGTGTCTGCTGCCTGCTACCATTGTAAGAAATGGGGTCCCATCATGAGGTACAGGGCGCAGAAGGGGCTCTGAAGGGCAGGATTTTCCCCTGAATCTTTCCTCCTGTTCCTTTTCTGACCTACCACCGCCCTGGAGACCCTGGGGCTGGGGCCCGCCCCCTCCTTCCCTGAGTCCCTTGTCCCCGCCTCTCACTGTCCATCGTCCTTCCATCTTCATGCCCCTGGTCCTCTAATCGTCACCCCCAACTGCCCCTCCTTGCTGTGTGGGTCTTGCCAAGCACACTCAGGAGAGGGTGCTGCTGGAGGACGTGGGGCTGTGCCAGCGTGCCCGCATGGACTCAAACGGCCACTCTGTGTCCCTCTGGCAGGTACCCTGGCTCAAGCAGAGCAGGAACCCTCTCTCCCCTCATGCCCGCAGCCAGCCCGGGCTGTGCAACATGTACAAGGTAAGACGTGCGTCCACCTCCAGCCCCTCCGGCGGCCACACTGTGAGCCGTGTTCCCGCCGCTGTCCCCATCGGTAGGCAGCGTCTGGGCGCGTCCCTATCCAGGGGCACAGCAGGTCGTCAGTGGCGTTTGTAAGTCACGTTGGCAGAGCCAGTGGGGTTGGCATCCCATGGAAAGCCAGCAAAAGACACTGTGTGAAGGCAGAGGCCGTCCTCGGAGGCGTAGGAGCCGCTTGGGTCCTCGGCGGGTCCCGCATGGGTCAGGGCAGTGGACAAGCTCCCTGGGGAGAGCTCACCAAGGGCCATTGCACAGAGCCAGGGCAGAGGCAGCGCTGGCCAAGAGGTGGCCTGCGACCATGCACTGACCCGCCTGTGTTCACAGCTGCTGAGAAAACCAGTGCGTAACAGATACTGGGCGCTCACTAACTATTAGTTGAATTAAACTCTTACACAACACATGCCCTCGGGAAGTCGGCCACAGCTGCTGTGCTCATCTGAGCTCGGCTGAGGTCCCTCGGGCTGGAGGACAAGCACTGTCATCAGCCCTCCGCCTCTGGGTGTGGTGGTGGCTGCTGCTCAGAGCGCTGGGGACATGGAGTGACTGTGAACAGCAGGGAGGAAAGGGGACAGGTGACCCAGAGGAGGCTTATGTGCAGCGGGCAGCCAACACACAAGCTCCTGTCACTGAAGGCACTTCCAGATGACAGCAGGCGCTGCACCTGGCCACCTGGCTTTTCTTTTAACCTGGAGAACACACAAGGTGGAAAACGGCGCTCACTGTTCTGACAAGAGCCCAAGTGTGGGAGGGGGCCAGGCGGCCGAGCCTGGGGAACCTTGCTCTAAAGGAGGGAAGCACCTATGTTTACAAGGAGGGAGACCGCAGGAGGCGCACCAGCTGTCCCCTCCCGGTGTGGCTGGGAGGGGCCTCGCAACACGCCCCACCCCTGCGAAGTGCTCTCCTAGGTGCTGGTTTCAGAGGGGGCTGCACCCGTGTTGAAGGAGAGTCTGTGAGAGAGAGACAAGGGGAAGCCGGCAGCTCCCTGGCAGCCATTCCCCGGGCAGGGTGGCTGGTTCAGGAAGAGGGTCCTGGGGCAGGATGTGTCTGCATCTCCTGGGACCCTGCCCTGGGGGTGGGAGGGGGGCCCCCTGCCAGCCCCAGACCGTGACACCTGACACCGGCGTGGTGCCTGTGGTTTGCTGGGTTTACTGGAAGGACTTGCCCATGAAGCACCCGTGGGGGCGTGGGTCTCCATCCGGTGGGGTTGGACAGCATGCTCCCAGCGAGTCGGTGGGGCCCCAGCCACCCTGGGGCACTCAGGCCTCGTCCAGATGAAGCCCGGACTGTGGCACCAAATGCCTTCCTGGCATTTTCGCCCTGCAACACCCGCCATGCACAAGGGGCGGGGAGGCCGAGGCCAGACAAAGCTCTGGTTGCGAAGCCCCGGAAGTGGACCCTTTGCCCCGAGCCACCTGGACGCCCCCTGCCCCATCTGGCCCTCCACTGGAGACAAGATGCCACCAGGAAGCAGAGCCCCCCACGGAGAGGCCGAGAAGCCGCCAGAAATCCCAGCCAGAGGAGGGCGAGCAGCCCGGGCGCCGGCGTTCAAGTGACACTGAGACGCCTTCCCCCGATGCTTCGTTCTTCTCTTAAAGCATCTGGGAGGAAGAGCAGCGCCGCGGCCCCGCATCCTCACCGCAGGCCGACGTCTGTGCGCCGTGGGCGAGTCCTCTGCACTTCAGTTTCATGCGCGGACACCCCATTCCCGCCCAAACGCGAGTTCCCAGCAGCCCAGCACCGGCTCGTCTCCCCGAGAAACGGCTTTTCCTATTTTGAATGTTTTCCTCCAGCACTTTGGGAACCCTTGATATTTCACAACAGCGGCTGTGTTTATCCGAGAGCAGACTTAACAGCACCAGCCACGGCGGAAGGACTGCAAGGGGCCAGGTGGCACTAAATGGTTTTAAAATACACATGGTCCCGAGGCACGTGGCTCGGAACCCGAAGGTGTGGACGCGCCATGGCGCACTGACGTCCGTCCCTGGCCTTCCTGAACATTCCTCCCCCTCTCTGCCTCTCTGCCTCTCTGTGCAAATACACCAGGAAGGGTGGGGAAAGACCCCCCGCCGGGAAATCAGAACAAATGCTCTCCAAGCTCAGCGCCCCCAGGAACCCTTTCATCCAGGAGACCCAGCGCCTGTCCCGGACCCGCACGGGGCTCGGTTCTCCTGGGGCTGTACCGTGACTGTGGAAGGTGCAGAGGCCGGAGCACAAGTGGACGAATGAAACATCCGATGACGGAAAAGCAGGAATTCCAAAGGAGACATCAGGAGGAGGAAAACGTGCCAAGACGGCCACTCCATAGGAAAACAGGCCAAACCTTTTCGCTTCCGCTTCGTCTTGGCGCCTTGCCAAGGCCCATGTCATCCTCGCTGGGCCCCCGGAGCACCTGCTGGGCGTCTGGGGTGGGGCCTGCACAGGGTCCACCCTTTCCCACGTTCACCCCGCATCCTGCCTGGGCTGGGCCCCTGGAGAGGGACCCCAGCACCAAGACGAAAGCCTGCACTCCCCGTTTCCTGCAAACCACTCATACTGGTTCCCTTTAAGAGTCCCTTCTGCCCCTGCGGCCCCAGGCATGTTCGGGTCCCCACCTGCCTGGGGAGGGCGCTGTGCGGACACCTGAGGCGGAGAGCGCCCACAGAGTTTGCCCCATGACAGTCTCCCCACTTCTGATTCATCGGTCGCAACGTGGGAAGCGTGATAGGACTCGGAACTCCATGGCGCAGGTCTGATCACAGGGCCCTGCGCTGCGCCCTCCATCTGCCGGGAACCCCTTGGCCGCCCGTGAGGCCGCAGCAGCGTGCGCCCCTGCCCCACCACGCCCGGCAGGCACCTTGCTGACCCACAAAAATCCGCAAAGACTCTGCGCCCTTGGCCTTCGCGAGCTGGGTCTCACCCAGCGGCCGCCCAGCTGTCCTGCACAGACCGGCTGGGACCCGGCGGAGCGTTGTCCCCTCTGCCCAGCCGCTCTGGCTTGGGGCCGTGGCATTCCTGTTCTCGGGCCTCAGTTTCCTCAACCGCACAAGGAAAGTGTCAGATTCAATGGTGGGAAATACTCGGGGAGACTTTGTAACCCCGGTGGTAACAGCGCATGCTCCAGCTAGAAGTGACCAGGAGCTGACCTCCTGTGTGAGGCTGTTAGATCGCGTTCTGCCCGTCGGACACACAGCCCCCAGCCGAGTTGGTCTCCGCCTGGGTTGTGAAGTTACCTGACGTTATGTGAGAGTCCTCTGCACACTCTAGACACACTGAGATCTTTAAAAAATGGGTGCTTGGGAGCAAAGGAAAAAATCAGGGTGGTTTAGGCCCACGTCCTAGTCTGCTCTGTCCAGTTCTGCTCCGGCCACTTGGGAAGGAGAGAGCAGGAAGTCTGGAAGACTGCATTCCAGAAGAGCTGGGCTGGAGTTTCACCCTCACCGCCGGCTCCAGGTGCCCTGAGTTTGGGAAACAGGCAGCCATGAGCCTTTCCTGGGGGGAAGGTGAACCCGTCCCCTTTGCCGTGAGCTCTCTGAGGCTCTCCGAGGCCAGGACTGCGGACATGGCTGCATCTGACCGGCGTGCTGGCCGTGCTGCAGACCCTGCTGTTGTCACGTGCTCCTAAATGGAGAGCCCTCAGCAGAGTGGCCGTGAGGGCAGCTGCGCCCAGGCTGCTAATCCACAGCGGACAGGAGACACAGGGCTGCCCACTGGGAAGCGTCCACCCAGCTTTATGACCGTCTCACCGATCAGATGGCAGCCTCCAGTGTCTCCACCTCCCCAGCCTTCTCCGCCAGCCGCTCCACTTCGCAGGAGGACACAGGTGGACACCAGGTGTCAGAAGCTCTTCCTGTTTATGATCAAATGCCAGGTCACACAAACGTGACCACCACAAGCCGACCTCACAAGCAGAAGCTCGGGGCTGTGATGTTTGACCTCTTCCTTGCTTTTCTGCGCCCAGGTGAGACCTCGTTCTGTCATTTCCAAAAGGGCTCGGATTCCACCGTTGCATCGCCCCGGCACGGAGGCAAAGCCACCCTCCCGAGGACCCAAGGAGCCTTCGTTTCCTCATTTCAGTGACGCCTCGGCGAGGACAGAGGCAGACGGGTCTCCACTGCACCTCACACAGCAGCGTCTGATCACTGCCTGAGGCTTCACAATTTGCTAACAGTAGAAGCTCTCGAACTTGGAAACTGGTCCTTGTAGTCACGGGGCAAAGCAACAGTCCCACCTGAGCGGGACACCAGGAGTAACACAGGACACACACACAAATCACCATCGCCAGCAAGCCACACACCCACCCATCAGCACTCTCATTTTCCAATATCTGAGAAGAAACGTATTATTTGAACAGCCGCCAGATAACCTAAAATTTCCATCTAAATCAAAGGTTCGCCTGTGGATTTTCCCAGCAATAGAGAAAAGCCTGAACAGTTCTAATATTACACAGCTTTCTTGAAAGAAAGAAAAAAAGGCCCACGGCTTTCATTAAACTCATCTGAGTCAATGATTCAGGAAGTCGCAAAGGGCAAAAGCACAGAGCAAACTGCATATGTCACTCAGACAGAACAGAATTCTCTCCAGATTGCGAAATCTACAATGTCCTGACCTTGCCAGAAAAACCTAACACTCCCTCCTGAGGCATGTTCGAAGCTGCTTGACCAGAAATGGTGCAATCGCTTCCTCTGAAACACTGAAATAAACAAATGGTGGCGAGAGACCCGCGGTGTCCAGTGATTCTCAGAATGGCCCGAGCATTGAGGGGTCAGCATGCGGGGAGTAAATAGACTGACCCTGAAAGGGAGACGTTACAGCTCAAACAGCCTGCACACCCACGTGTCTTTCACCCCCAAACTTGGGATCTTCGAGACACATGTCTTAGTAGATAATATGAATTTTACTGGCACCTAGTCTGCACCTGAGCTAGTCGCCATGGGGTCAAAAAGATGTCACAGCCCTTTCCTTCC